TGCCTCATTGAAGGCCTGTTTTGAAAAAGAATGGAGCTCGACAAGTCATTAATAGTAGAGTATGAGGGGTGCCTCTTGTCTGCTTTCACCTTAAGGAAGTATACAAAGGACATGTAGGTTCTTTGCAGATGAAGTGACCACTCATTTGACTCAACATAAAGGCTTTCTACGGGGCTGGTGCGAAAAGCACCCGTAGAAAGGCGGATGCCCAAATGGTGCACGGGGTCCAGCATCTTCAAGGCACTTTGAGTAGCAGACTGATAGACAACGGCCCCATAATCTAAGCGGGTGCGAATGAGGCTTTTATAGAGGTTCATGAGGCATTGCCTATCACTACCCCAGGTAGTACGTGACAACACTTTAATAACATTCATGGCTTTTAAACATTTTGTTTTTAAATACTTGATGTACGGTACGAAGGTCAACTTGTTGTCCAAGATTAAGCCTAAGAATTTATACTCGGGTTTGACAGACAGACGTTGCCCGTTCAGTCGAATGTCAGGTTCCGAGTGCATGCCTCTCTTTCGAGAGAACAAGACACACGTGCTCTTTTGTGGGTTCAGTCGGAATCCGTTTTCCTCTGCCCATTCGGAGACCTTGTTTAAACCTAACTGAACCTGTCGCTCACACATTACCAGATTGCAAGATCTAAAGCCAAGCTGGACATCGTCGACATATGTACAATAAAACATATTGCGAGGGATGGACAAGTGCAAGGAATTCATCTTGATGAGAAAAAGTGTGCAACTAAGCACGCCACCTTGTGGCACGCCTGTTTCCTGGACAAATGTTTGAGAGAGCACACTGCCCAGACGGACACGGAATGTCCGGTTTGACAGGTAGCTCTCGATTATATGAAACATTCTTCCGCGCACACCAAGGTGGGACAGGTCTCTTAGGATTCCAAAACGCCATGTTGTATCATACGCCTTTTCGATATCGAGGAACACAGAGAGAAAATATTGTTTATGGACAAAGGCGTCTCTGATCTGTGCCTCGATACGAACAAGATGGTCTGTGGTGGATCTACTTTCTCGAAACCCGCACTGAAATGGGTCGAGCAAATTGTTTGTTTCAAGGATATGTACAAGTCGGCAGTTTATCATTTTTTCGAATACTTTGCACAAGCAGCTTGTAAGTGCAATAGGCCTATAACTTGAAGCTAAAGAAGGGTCCTTGCCCGCTTTCAAAATGGGAATAATAATAGCCTCTTTCCAGGAGCTAGGGATAGTGCCAGAAAACCAGATAGCATTGTACAAACAAAGCAGGGTTTTTCGTGTTTCGGCTGGTAGGTTTTTTAGCATTTCATATACCACACGGTCAAAACCTGGGGCAGAAGTGCTGCAGGAGTTTAGAGATGTTCGGAGCTCCGCTAGACTGAAAGCTTGATTATATGCCTCGTATCTAGTGGATTTGTGATCGAGTTTCTGCTTTTCTATTCTTGTTCTGTATTTTTGGAAAGTGTCAGTATAGTGGGACGAGCTGGATACCCGTTCAAAGTGTGCCCCGAGGAAGTTTGCCTGATCTTCCAAGGTATCCCCTTGAGTGTTTACGAGTGGAAGTGTGTGTACTTGTTTCCCTGCTATCCTACCGACCATGTTCCAGACTTTAGCCTCCTGTGTGTATGAATTGACCCCTGATAAAAACTTCTGCCAGCTTTCTCTTCTGGCCTGCCGACGCGTTCTCCTGCCACGAGATTTTATTTTCTTAAAGCTCTCAAGGTTTTCCGCTGTCGGCGAGTTGCGCAGCAACCTCCATGCCCTGTTTTGTTCCTTTCGCGCATTCTGACACTCAGTGTTCCACCACGGGACGTGTCGTTTGCCGGGCAGTCCAGATGTTTGTGGAATGCACTTGGCTGCTGCGTCAGTAAGAAAAGCCGTGAAGTACTGCACAGCTTCATCTATGCCTAATCCGCATATGTCGGTCCAACTTAGGTGTGTAATCTTTTGAAATTGTTCCCAGTCGGCTTTGTTCACCAGCCATTTGGGAACATGTGGAGGATATTCATATGTTATTGGTGTACTCAAAACTAAAGGAAAATGGTCACTTCCGTATGGGTTATTTATGACTTTCCACTGAAGTAATGGTACAAGTGAAGGAGATGCGATACTGAGGTCTATGGAGGAATAAGTATTGTTTGCAAGGTTATAATATGTTGCCTGTTTTCTATTCAACAGACAAGCACCTGATGAAAAGAGGAACTGTTCAATGAGACGACCTCGTGCATCACATCGACAGTCACCCCATAACCCGCTGTGCGCATTCAGGTCCCCTAGAACCAAATAAGGTTCTGGTAACTCATCTATTAAAGACTGGAAATCATGTTTTTCCAGGCGGTGTTGCGGCGGTATGTATAGAGAGCAGATGGTGACGAGCTTATTCAATAGGACTGCTCGAACAGCCACTGCCTCTAGGGGTGTTAGTAGTGGTAGATGACTGCATGCTACTCCTCGATTAACTATAATGGCTACACCACCAGATGACGCCACAGCATCATCTCTGTCCTTTCGGAAGACAACATATTGACGCAAGAAACTTGTATTCTTGGATTTTAAGTGTGTTTCCTGTACACACAGCACTTTTGGAGAATGTTTGTGTAGAAGTTCTTGGACATCGTCGAGGTTTCGAAGTAGTCCTCTGACGTTCCATTGTATAATTTGTGTCTCCATTATGGGAGTAAAGAAGTGCTGTGTGTACGAAATGAGTGTGGCTGGTGTCTAAAGAGAGAAGTGATTTATCTTACAGAGCCTTTAGAAGGCCCTGTAATTACCGTTTTGTCTTTTTTAGAGCGGTCGAGGGAACCCCGCCGCTCCTTTGGCGCAGTCTGCGCCGGTGCAGTTGAAGTGTCCATCGCCTCAGGAGAGGCGACAGATAATGTTTTCGTTGTAGGCTTCGTCGTAACAGACGGAGCCTTAAACCCCACCGGGCTGGAGGTCGAGGGGACCTCTTTAGTTTGTGTGGTGCCCTGGCTGCTGCCAAGGTTCACAGGAGCCTTCGGTGGGGCTGTATTCAAGGAGGGTGGGGCAGCCGAGGCTGCTCCCCCCATGGGGGCTTGTGGCGTTTGCCTCGGCACGCTAGGCGCGGTCCGGGCAACTGCCAAGGGCCTTTGTGGTGCCGCCCCTCGTTGCACCACTTCGGCAAAAGGTGTTTTTAGTGCTAATGATAACGAGACCCGTTGTCTTGCTTCCCTGAATGTGATATTTTCCTTAACTTTTATAGTGATTATTTCTTTTTCTCTTTTCCAGGCTGGGCACGCTCTGGAGTATGCGGGGTGACTACCTTCACAGTTAGCACAGAGGACCTCGTCATGACTACATTCATCAGCGCTGTGGCCGGTTGTGCCACACTTAGCACACATCAGCTGTCCTCGGCAGCTCTGGGATGCATGACCGAATCGCTGGCATTTGAAACAACGCCTCGGGCTTGGAATGAAAGGTCGGACATGGAGTTTTACATAGCCAGTTTCGAGACTTTCAGGTAAAGTGGTTGAATTGAAGGTGAGTATCAAGTGCTTTGTTGCTATTTCATTGTTGTTACGTCTGATTTTGATGCGCTGGACATGTATCACACCTTGGTCCTTCCATCCATCAAGAAGCTCTTCTTCATCTCAGTGTCATCAAGTCTTCGTCCGATACCACGCCCTTCATTGTATTCATAGTACGATGTGCGCTCACCGAGACGGGGATGTTACCAAAGGCTACAAGGTGCGAGAGTTTATTGTACTGTTCTTTGTCTTTTAGTTCGAGAAGCAGATCACCACTTGCCATCTTCGTGGCCTTATAACCGGTTCCAATGGTTTCTCTCAAGCACTTAGCTACAAGGAAGGGTGAGATTGTTCTAGCTTTTGTAGATGATTGTTCGCAGTGGAGAACATGGTATTTTGGAAAAGATTCTCTGTTTTTGGGCCAAAGTAGTAGAGTTGCGTCGGTGCGTACCCTTTTCGAGGCACGATCAGTTAGAGAGGGGGTCGAGGATCCCATGGGAAAATGTGGATTTTTCGGTAACAGCGCCTACCACCCACCACGGAGTCCAACAAGGGGACGTGGCAGAGCATGTGGGCATGTCTGCGCAACGCCAGCAGTACGCAGTTACTATAACCCAATATGGTTTACCCTAGTTTGGATAGCCACACAAGGTTAACCCTTGCCGCCAGGAAAAATCGGAAGTAAAATGAAGTGAGGAGAAGACAGGAAAGATGTAAAGTGAGAACAAAAGACGAAGATATAGGGAGAGAGAGATAGGAAAAGGCGACTGCCGATTTCCCCTGGGTGGGTCAGCCCAGGGGTGCCGTCTACGTGAAGCCGGGGCCAAAGGGGTGTGTTGCCTCTGCCGGGGGGCCTTAAAGGTCCAATCACCCAGCATTGGCTCAACCCCCAGGATCCCCTTTTCCCCGGACACGGCAAAGCCACGCACGGCTAGGCGTGGGAGGGAGCCGAAACTCCCTCGTTAGCTCGGGTCCGTGGTGTCGCTACACACCAAACGCCTACTTGCGCAGGCGCCCCTGCGGGTTGCATTCTGTTCGAATATCAGAACTAGAAAAGAAGCGAAAATATCGAACTCTTGGGGAGTCGTGCAGTGTACTGCCAGACCGGATGCGCGGACCAGGGCGATGACTGGAGGGCGCGCACTACGCCTTCTGTAATGCTTATACGGCAGACGCTCCGCTGTTCGTGTTTCATTCGACGCCGATCACCCAGCGGCGTGAAAAGTTTAGAGACCACTAATATGAGAACACTATATTTACCGGAAATTCGCGATTGTATTTGGTCGAACTGACGTTAGCGCGTTTTAGAAGAGGCCAGAAATATAAATTTCAAGGCTCCCTCACAAAGCAGCTAGAATATATTCAGTTTTTTTCTTTTTGTATCTCGTGGTCTTTAAACTTCTGACGCTGACTATGCGGGGCCGGAGTGCATTGCTCCTACACTGCGGTAACCTTAGGCGCGCATCTGCAACGCACAGTCTAGAATCTAGGAGAGGCACCGGGTGGCAAGCGATACCTAGCACAAATCGCCGGCAGCGGGTAGGTGACAGCCATCTTGAAGATGAGCGCAAGCAAGCCGACGAGCACCCAAGCCTGTGTGGCGTCAAACATCTCCATGATATCAGGCCGCACGGATGCGCCGTAGGTCAGGTAACCGAAGCAGCCAACCGTGGAGTAGATGACGAAGAGCACGGCCGTGCAGATTGCGATCGCTCGAGCCATGTTCCACAGTGAGCGCTGGCGCATGGCGGCGTAGGCTGAAATCACCACTTCGTAACTCTGAAAAGTGTCCCAACCACTTTCGTCATTTTTCTGGACGCGTGAACGTACACTTCATGTAGCTAAAAAACTTGGCCCCGTATCTGCATGGTAATCGGCAAATGTCGTCGAAAGACGATAGTCTTGCGTGTGGAGAGAGTGGACAAAGCATTTATTTGATGTTCTGCGCAAGAAAATAGGTTAATGGTATTCTGGAGGTGCTGAGTTAGAGTGCCTCGAGCGTGCAGCGAGGCGAACGAGCGCATCAAGTCACGTCACACGTGAGACATGAGCGCCATCTGGTAGTTTTATTTAGAAAACAAAGCGCGTGGCTCTGAGACAGGCGTGAACGCCCGTCTCAGAGGTGATTAGGTGTAGATGTAGAACACAAGGCGACGGGTAGGTGCCACCACCGTCTCGTCTTAGCAAAGCGTTGCATAGTCAGCGCAGCGTGATAAGCACTACGGTCTTTAAAATTACCTATGTATGCCTTGTAAAGGCATACATACAGAATATATACGTGTTGTTATGGTGCCCCCAACATGTGCAATAATTGTTTTTTACTTGACAATTGCACAGGCATGAACGCTCAACCTTGAGCAACATTGTTGGTCGCTATGGATGGGGGCAGCCGTTTCATATGCCCGGTGCCGTTAACAGTGGACAAACAGATAAATGTACAGACAGAAAGACCAAAATTTTTGCGTCGATGGTCCCCAAGAAAGACTACCGTCTTTAAAAAGATGGCGTGAAAGCAAAATAGTCTATCACGAGGTTATGCTCGCAGCATGCACACGAACTATGGGGCATAGACAAAGCCGGATACCTCAAGGTTCCAACACCGATCTCTATGGGAACCTTGAGATAACCACATTTTATGACACACGTTGATGTACAAGATATTTTTATTTTCCCCCCACGCGTTAGTGTGATGGTTACTGTATTTACCATGTTTTCTTCCTCTCTTTTCTGGCTTTTGCCACTTCCTCACAAAGGGTCTGTTGGTGTCTAGATAGATGTCGCTGTTGCATAATGAATGCAGATCTCATTCAATGTTGAATGATGTCACTTGTGCTAGTTTCAACTTCTTTCTTCCTTATTGCTGTGCGTGCTTGTTCCTATTTTACATGTTCCTTCCTAACAACAACAAATTTTTTTTCTGCCTTTTTTGCGTTATAGCTGCAATTCCTGTATCTACTGTGTATGGGCTCTGCTTTTCAATCCCAATGTGGCAAATGTCAATCATCATCATCATCAACATCATTATCATCATCACCATTATTATTATTATTATTATTATTATTATTATTATTTTAAGCCCAGTAAACCTAAGATCGTGAATTCCCAAGTATTATATTCGACAGACCTTACTCAGTGTTATATTAATCCTAATCTACACTTCCTCCACCCGCCCTTGTTTTTTAAAGAGATTTTTTAAGGAAATACCTTGATCAGAGCAAATATTCAGCTTACATTTATTATAGCTTTATGTATACATTTAAATAACATATCTCACTAATCAATCATAGCACTTGTACTGGCGCTCTTTGGCCTTAGATGCACTTGCAGCAATAAAACTAAACCTAATAAACGTAAAAAAGCAATAAAAATAAACATAATAATAAATAATCAATCATGAGTTAATTAGTTGTTTTCATTCCACTTCCTTCTTTCCTATTGGAGAGAGGCGCAAGTTGAGGACATGTTTGCCTTTTCACGAATAAACTGCTTTCCCCACATCAGTACCTTTTTGATAGTTTTCGCATTCCGTTACGTTGTAAAAATAGTGATTCTTCCTTATCTCTATCAATGTTGGCCATGAACGCAGAAAAATAGCGAGCTCGCTTTTTGTCGTTTGTGGTTTTTTTTTGTTTAGGAAAACGTGTGTAGACTAAAGAGAAGCTACACCAACTCACCAACGGCACTATCTTGGAATACACATTCAACAAGAGAATCTCGACAACAGTGCACCAGTGAAGTTGCAACTGCATGACTCACCTGATAGGCGAAGCAAAACACGGGAGTGCTGAGAAAAACGTCGCGTACGTTTGTGGGCCTGAAGAACAAAATAGACGAGAGTTGAGTATTTACCAATAGCGCAAAAATAAATAAATAAATAAAAGTGTGCCAGCGACGGTGCTTGCAAAAGAAAAGTTTGCCAAGTACGCACCACACCTTGATGTACAGGTTGTCTGGACGACGTTCTGTGAAGTACGCGATGCACGTCAGGACGCAGGGATAGATCACGGCCGCTAAGCCCAGGCTGCTGTAATGTGCATAGAACCGCGCGCGAGGATACGGATTTCAGATGCGAACAGCAGGGGCATCACGTGCACTTTACGCGAACGAAATTTCCCTGGATGCTGCGCTTGGAGGGATCAGAGTGTCGCGTTCAAGAGGCGGGCTCACACGCTCAATCCACTTGCAGATGTAGGCGTCGTCGCGTCTAACAGGGTCCGCTTGATTTCAGAATCGACCCGTTTGCGCGAGAGGAAGCATCAAATTTGCTTTAAAGCAATGATTACTCGTGATGTGCGAGTTCAAATCTGCCAACGTGTAGGAAATAGTGCTTTTTGTTTAAAATTGCCTTAGTAAACATGCCTATGTGGCGTGTATCTGTACCGCCTTTCGACCTCCTTAGAGCATCCAAATGTTGGAACTTGGGTGTGTGGGTCAAGATCCATTTAGGAGGCGCATACAGCGCAGAAATGTTTACTGCCTGCCGCTTTTCCTGCTTATGTGTGCGCTGTACACGCCAGGTATATTAATATCTTGAAAGCAATACATGGGATTCATTTTATGTCACTCGATATGGCATTTAGAAAAGCAAAAGAAAAGAGATCTCTACTTTTTTGCGGACTTCTGTGATCAACTTATAAAAAAAAGATAATAATTTCCTACTAGACACGCTCGAGCACATCTTGAGAAGATATTAAGAGCTTTGAAACTAAAAATCTAAAACATTTAGTGGCGTTATTTCATATTTCGAAGTCACGCAAAATCTTCAAAGCGCTGGACTTAAACGCACAATTCGTCGGGCGTACCTGGCGTACTTGAGGAACTCAATGTGCTGGAGCATGTTGAGCGGCAGCACGATGGCGGCAGCAGTGAGGGTGATGGTGAACTCGCGGGCCATGTACCACGTGTGGCAGAAGTCTGGTCCATGAAGCGAAGCGAATACTTGACCGGCAATGGAAATGCACCATCATGCACGCGTTCAAGAAACATTCCGCGTATAAGGCCACCTCTTATACTTTTTTTCTGAAAAATTATTTCACGTACTTTCAAACCCCAAAGGCGTTGCCAGGAGTAGTTGTTAGCAGGAAATATGTGAATGCATACAGTGCCCTTCATGTTCCCAACCGCCCCGCTACGGTGGTCTAGTGGTTAAGGTACTCGGCTGCTGACCCGCAGGTCGCGGGATCAAATCCCGGCTGTGGCGGCTGCATTTCCGATGGAGGCGGAAATGTTGTAGGCCCGTGTACTCAGATTTGGGTGCACGTTAAAGAACCCCAGGTGGTCTAAATTTCTGGAGCCCTCCACTACGGCGTCTCTCATAATCATATGGTGGTTTTGGGACGTTAAACCCCACAAATCAATCAATCATGTTCCCAACACGTGGTATAGGGTAGATAATAGGGTTTTAACTAAAGTCGGCAGTAAATTCACCTAGGTGGTAAACGATCATCTTTAAAAGGTATGAAAGCAGTAAACACCACAATACAAAGACAAACGCACCGACTATGTTCGACGAGTGCACCGCCAGCCACAGATCGCGCTGAATAAGGGAGATAGGGAATAAGCTGGAATGATGTAAACACTTAGGTCGGCTTCAGGCATAGCTCGGCACATTCACTCGGTGAGTCGACTCACTCAGTCTCTGATTGAGCCGTGAGCCCGAGTGAGTCCGGTTGAGAAACATTTTGGTGAGTCTGGGCCTGCGCTAAACGCAAAGTGGAGTTCTTGAACGAATATGAGTGAACTGCATGTACATTTTTTGCTGGTCTATATGGTTCTATATATTTATATAACTTCAGCATTACTATCAGCCTTACGTAGGCTTAAGTTTATACTAACGCCGACTCAAACGTATACTTCAACTGAGCACTAGCGTTCATATTTGTTTATTTATTCAAAGCACTAGCTCAGTGTGTATCAGCGGCGTGAGTTATGAAGGAGCAATAGGGCCGTGACCCCACCACCGCCGCACCTCCGGAAGCTCATTCAATAAATATGTTCTAAAAATATCTAATGTGAGTACTCTCTTTCAATAATTATGTTCTTGCTGGGTTGCAACCACTGATACCTCACGCCTGACGGTACGAGATCAAAAGGCACCAAGCACAGCACCGATTACGCGAGTCATTGGTGTTAAACAGCATTGACACCAAGTTCGAAGTTCCCAATGGTAAGTTCATGGACTCATGAGTAGACTCACTCAGATAGAGCCGCGAGTCTGAGTGAGTACAAGCGAATATTTTCGTGAGTCTAAGTGTAAGTGAATCCGACTGCGAAAAGTTTAATCAATCTGAGTCCGAGGGAGGTTGACAAATCCAACGGCACACTCGGGTGGTCGTTTGCGAACACTTTGACAATGTTTGAAAGTGGTAAATTCAGCAGCTTTAAGGCGCTATACAACGAGAACAATGATGTATGCAGATCATGCTTCCCCCACCCCTTCCTGAAAATGTGCTTGCCCGATTATTTTATTGGCAGTGCTTATTTGCTGTTTTCCGTATTTTAGAGCCTCAGGAGCACTCGCAAACGACCAGTCGAATGTACCATAAGTAAGGGCGGGTCACAAGAGCAATGAGTGAGTCTGAGTAAGCAGCACGTTTTTTGTCGACCTATGAAATCATGGACTGCTGCGTGATAAATTTCAAGATGATTGGGTAATCGCGACGCAAATAGAGTTTGACATGTTTTTTGTGCACATACTATAGTGGCATGTGTGAACACATTAAAAATAGATAGTTTGAAGTTCCTGGAGCAGCCTCACAATGGCTGCTATTTTTTAGCCGCTAAAACACTGGAACAGATTTCTTTGTATTTTTGCGTTTGAGGCACTCAAGGTGTCGATCCTAAGAGGCCATCCCTATGACAGTCAAGCATTGCAACGTCTTCACTGGTCGTTTTTCGACAAAGTGTGGTTGCGTGCCGAACGGGAAGACGAAAAAGAATACTTACTGCGGTCGTATTGATCACCAATGACTATCAGGTAGGTGACGCAGACGCCGTAGCAGGTGAGCAAGACGGATACTGCCGACGCGTAGCGCCATTTCTTCCCACACATGGACAGCAGGATGCCTTGGTAAGTGCGGTCCTTTTTGACATCGGCACAAAACGCCAACGTCAGAATAGTTCCTCCGATGGAAACCACCAGGATCTAAAATTAACGGAAAGCAGCGACGCAGACACGATGCGTGAAGCGTGGATGCACGCTATAAGCGTAACATAAAACGAATTAGCGTGTTGGCGAGCATGCAGTTCATGTAGCTGGTCAAAATATAGTTTTTATGCCCTTCGTATTGACGTCATCATCATCATCATCATCATCATCATCATTATCAACAACAACAACAACAACAACAACAACAACAACCTGACTACGCCCACTGAAGGGCAAGGCCTCTCTCATGTTCCGCCAGTCAACTTGGTCCTGTGATTGCTGCTGCCACTTTATATCCACTAACTCGCTAACCTCGTCTGCCCACCTAACTTTCTGTCTCCCTTTCGCTTGCCTTCTCTTGGAATCTATAGTCCGTGATTCCTAATGACACAGCTGTTATCTTCTCTTCACGCCCATGACCATGTCTGCTTCTTGATTTCCACTATGATGTCCTCAACACCCATTCTTTCCCTGATGCACTCTTCTCTCTTATTACCCCTTAGGGTAACACCTATTTTAGTTTTCTTTCCGTTGCTCGCTTCGTTGTCCTCAACTTAAGTTGAACCCTTTTGGTAGTCCTCCAGGTTTCTGCTGTGTATCGACGTACTCGTTATCAAATTATAAAAGAGTACATTTTTTATGTTCCGGGGAAATGAAGAACATAAAAAAAACTGCTACCGATTTTACCTCACGGCAACAAAATTGATGCATCGAAATAAAAATCATGCCACAGGTCACGATGACCGAATGTAGCTGAATAAAGCTGGGCTAAACTATAGAGTAAAGTTTGGGTCCATTTATTTAATTCCTTATTCTTACCAACAATTTGGAGTTGTGAGAGACAGTGAAAATGCCCTATGTGTGCCTGTCGCATGCAATACGCACGTCTTTCGTGCACAAAAATTTACGAATGGGAAAGATTGTTGCTTGTAGAAAGACCACTACGAGTGGTCGCTGGTGCGTGCGCAGCTGGCACTTGCGCAGACGCTTGAGGAGCATTGTGTTGAATACTTGAACCACGTCGTCGGCTTCGGCGGCGCACGCTAGCCGCATTGTCAGGCAGCGGGCAAATTTCATCGTTGCTGCGGGAACTGGACAATATTTCTCATCGTGTCACAGTACGCCTCACTGCCCTCCAAAATGAGCGCCGTCATCGGTGAAGTTCGAAGCTTCACGCGTGTACTTAGGCACCAGCGAGTGAGTACTGCCTCATGTAATTAAAACCCATCAATAAAAAAGCACGTTCAGGTGATTATCTTGACCTACAGCATTACCTCCTGAACATTTCTGAACTTGTTCTTGTTTGTTTTATAGTGTTGAACCCACATAGCTGCACGGCAGTTGCTGTAGAGTGCTAGTTTTTTTTTAGCGTGAAATAAGTACCACGCGCGTTATGTGCGCACCATGGTATTCCCCGTCGTAGCGTACTGCGGTTCACACAGAAAGAGAAAAACGTACGTGAACGCACTGAGTACCCCGTCGTGACGAAAGAGCATACGCCGCATACTGTCAAATTCTGTTTATAGCGCCCCATTTTCGCCAATGAAGGCAGAGAGGTTGGCATCGCACAAAGTTTAGTACAGAATGTTAATGTAGTTCAGGCAGCAACGTTAAAATCAGCAGGCTGCCCGACAGTGTGGTCAGCGTGAATCATTGTCGCAGACGATGTGGTTCAACAGGACGCTCACCAAGCGCCTGCGCATGCGCGAGCGAGTTGCTTCTGGCGCGTGACTGTAGTGCTGGCCTCATCGCGATGCTATGTGCTCCGAGATTTCCCCTAAGTGTGAAACAGACTGTAGTACATACGTATACGTACGTATACATATACATACCTGTGTACGTGTGCGTGTGTGTTTGTGTGTACGCGATGTTCTGCACACGTATGAGCAAGTGACGTGGTGCATCTGCAACTGGCTTTTAATGATTTTTACGCTAAAATCTAAACAAAAGACGCAGATAAAATGGTCAACACTGGTAAAACTGTAGGCATGGCACGTTGGATTCAACATTTCAACAAGAAATTAGGCAAGGACAATGGCTGTTCTGAGGAACCAACATTTAGGCAATAAAACTTTGCATCTTGTTCCGCAGTAAAGACTGTCAGGCTTCCCCGTAGAGGCGCTGGCTCTATAAAGCTTTACTACGTTTCTGTTCGACCCCTGTTTGCGACTCCTATGTAAAATGACCACCTTGGTTCAGTGGCTCTGGCGTTGAGCTGCTTAGCTCGTGGATTCGATCGTGTCCGCAGAGATAACATTTTGACGTCATAATCAGATCGTGATTTCGTCTCGCAGAACCCCAGAAATTGATGGTTTAAGCTTCACCCCACCCTAAGACATCCAGAAGCTCTCACCAGCTGCAAGACTGTGGCCATGATGATGCCTCCCGCGATATTGTAGGCTGCAGGGAAATGCAGGAGTCCGGCACCGAGAGCGGTGGTTGTCATTATCAAGGCCACCGAAAAGGTTGTCATCTGGCCTGTACCTATAAGAGTAGAGAAACATTGGGACAGGAATGGCATGAGGGTGGAGTTTGTGTGGCGAATTAAACGAGTTTGCTGTAGCATGAACGGTGAACGTATATAAGTTCGTCTTCTCTTGAGGAAGTAGCACCATCTGCCCTAATCAAATGACCCATAATATCGCAATTTTTATGCCCTTAAAAACGACCTAATGGACAACAGTGAAACTACGACCATATGCTTCAGTGTCAGTAATGGTCTATTGGCTGTAAAATTAAGTATGGTAAGCATGAAATATCTAAGTTATTAAGCATGCAAACAGCACGCGTAATGCGAAATAATCAGATAAAGTGGCAGTGAAATCAATATAAAAACAGCGGCAGCAAGAACCCGCGGCTCCTGTGCTTTTTGTCACGTTGCTGATTGGAGCGCAAAAGTCCACGAGCCCATTGTTATGTGTCTGAAAGTATACGTTGTTTGCATATACAGGGTGTGCCACGTAACTTTAACCAGAGTTTAGAAATATGCCAGAATACGTAATTACGTCGTGACCAAATGCATGTTGCTCACCGTTGCCTGGAGTTAGACTATTTTTTGTGTTCTCAAATATTGTTTAATTATATTTGTTTATTTAACTAACTTTGGAAGGAACGAAGATCGATAAAAAAATTTTAATGAGAAAGTTGTAAATCGGTTTGTAAAACGTCCAAACAAATAGTTTTTTAACTTTGTATCTGTTAAGTATTAGTGTTTTCCGCTAATTACAAATGCCCTTGAAATACAAAAATACCGCGTGACAAACCCGCTCGTGCGTCAGTGCGCACGATTTTTCTAGTGCTCCCTAACGTTCCGCGTACGAACGACACGCTTCCCTCGCAACGGTTCAAGACAGCGATAAGCAGTCACAGTGGTTATCGTTGTGGCGGATAGCAAAACGTGTTCATCGTAAAGCCACCAGCATCGTCGCGACCCTGCCGAGATAGCACCATGGGGCAAATGGTATGGTCGTTCGTACGTGGAACGTTAGAGAGCACTTGAATCATTGTGCGCACTGGTGCACGAGCATTCACCGTAAACGATATGCATTCTCGTACATTCTTAGTTTTTGAAAAGAAGATAAAAGTGAGCCTCGTAACTGTCTCTCGGGGGGAGGATACCTCAACAGTGGCTCACAAGGGATGGGGTGAGGAGGCATTAAAAGGATAGGGAGGATTAAGAGGTATACAGACAGAGAGAGGGGCAGGGGCAGGGACAGCCACATACGGAAGTAAGGGGAAGATAGGAAAGATGGACACGGTCGCAGGAGTCCGAGGATGGCGCACCACTCAGCGAGAGTTCTAGTCGGCGTCAGGAGATGGCGTAGGGCGAGCCAGTCGGCCAGAGCTGCGCTGTCGTCGGAGATCGCGGGGGCACAACCGGTCGGCGTGAAATCCAGTGAGTGAGTACGGTATTCGGGGAACGGCGGGATCATTAATACGGTCTTATTTGCAACACCGTAATCAGATTGTTAGCCTGGGTGGTTGCAATTCCGATTCTTTGTCAATCGTTTCAGGAGTTCCACAGGGAAGCATTTTGGGACCTTTCCACTTCAATATTTACATTAATGATATCGTGAACATCTCCTCTAACGTAAAATTTGTAATATATGCAGATGATACGAATATATTTTTAACAGGAAAATCAGTGAACGAATTAATAACACATGCAAATCTACTGCTGATTAGATTAGAAAAATGGACAAGAGAAAACGGTCTAAAAATAAATGTTGCAAAGACTAAGGCTATGGTATTTCATGCTAAAAATAAAGCGGAAATTGTAAAACAAACGATCTTTTTAAATTCCACCCCTGTCGAGATAGTCCCTTCCCTTAAAATATTAGGAGTAATATTTCAAGAAACATCATCATGGGATCACCACATACACTTCTTAGCTACGAAGGTCTCTCAGGTAGTCGGCCTTGTGTACCGAAACAAGCACTTGCTTCCTCGGAATATTTTGTTGTTAATTTACAATACCTTATTTTTATCAAGAATCAATTACTGCCATCTAGTTTGGGCTCTAACTTCTATAAAAACATAAAAAAACTTCATATGTTGCAAAAAAAGGTTTGTACGGGCGGTAGAGAACGTGCCACGTACTTATCGTACTCGTTCCTTATTTGAAAAATACAACCTAATGCCAGTAATAAAAATGTATGATTTTCTTCTGTCCAAGAAATATAAGCAAGACATAAAAAACTCTAACCCGTTTCTAAAGCAGTTGGCAGATTTAATACTCAACCAGCCTAAGTATAATACCCAGAAAAATGAAGTGTGGACTGTTCGAACCTTTAGAACCACATACGGTCTTCAATCGTTGGGAAATAAACTTCCAAGGTTACTAAATGAACTTAGGGATAACGAAATTGACTTAGAAAAAATCAACTTTAAACAACTGCGGAATCATTTCCTCCAGACGTCATGATCACTCGTTTCTGTTACTTGTAATTTCTAAAGAATGTATTTTTTGTATTTTGTTTTTGTTGACGTGTATTTTGTATACTGCTTTGTGTGTTTTTTTTTTCACGATATGTTTCTTGGTGTCTTGTATGTTTTTTTTAGGAAATGAGTATGCATTTCTGGTGTTGCCAAAGCAATAAATTAGGCATATTTCTTCTTTTTATGATGCTTTTTTTCTGTGTCTTGCAAGGCAAATGCGCCTGTATTTCACATTGCGAAATTATTTGTTTATAGCATTATATGTACCAATATGTTACACCTGTACAGTGTTGATTGCTCGTTTTCGTCGTATACATGTTTGTATGCTTCGCTCGGATGTATTACGCAAATGCTTCCTTTTTTTAAGGCAAATACGCCAACATTTTTTGCATCTTTTGAAATAGATTTTTTGTTGTTGTTGTTTAAGCATTAGACGTTTCGTTTTATCACACATGCACAGTGATGATTTCTTTCTTGTCATAGACCTGTTTATTTTACGCGTATGATCCCGAATGTTTTTATGAAAGTGTTACCGCTGCTGCGATGTGTTCGGGGAGGGGGAAGGGGGGCCTGCGGCCTTGTCAAGCTGGCATCACACCAGCTTTTTCTGCAGGTCTCCTGCATCATGTATCCTTGATGCGAAATAAAGTCATTATTATGAGTCCCACGCTTGACTATGGAGACTCCTTTTGCACGGCTTGCTTTATTGTTGCATTGACGGCTCACCGTTGCGGCGTTTGGCTTTTGCGAACTATAGAAGCTGCGTTGTTCTTTCTTTATTTTTGTTTTTCAAACTCATCTAACACTTCCCTGCCATCCCAAGACACGATGGCTTTGTGTACGTTGGAACGTGTATAACTGGAATAAACGACAGAGTTCGTGGTGAGGGCCGCCGCAGCCGCGACTTCTGTACAGAGGTCGTGCTACGGTTCATCTTTGAATATGGGGTGAAAACTATGTACATCTTTTAAAAACATTACAGCTAATGAGGATTGAAAAAGTGCATCCCTACCGATGAGCATGACGGGATACAGTGGAAGCTGCTGTCGATAGGGCAATAAAAAAGTTTTTTTTTTCTTGGAGCATCTAACTCGTTACCCTGGACGAGGGTGTGGAGAACCGTAAGTGGCCACATCTCCCACAGATGGGTTAGTCACCACCATACAGCAAATATGCGTGTGTACTGTTTGTGTGTCCGATTTGTAGCGTTGTAAGTGTTCCTTGTGTGTAGCGTGGTCTGGATACTGGTCCGAGTTTCGGCTTGATCGCAAAGTTTGTTCTGAGTTTGCCTATCCCATAGGCACTGCAACACGCTTTGTGCTTCCGTCAAAGGAAAAGCTTCATGTAAAGTGCAGGTGCAGCCATGGGTGTATTGATGGCAGCTTTTCGCGCGCGGATGCAGCTATAGCTGGTCCGCCATAACGTTTCCAGTGATCTCGCGGTGCCATAGCTCACAGCACAATACAGCATGTCGTTGGAGAGCATAGATCGCGCATAAAATAAAGAGAAACAAGGACAATTTTTTTTCAGAGTGTTCAGAGCTGCAACTAAACTAAGCGAAACTCCGTATATTACCGCGCGTAGGAGTTGTAGTTCCTTGATACGCTTGACAGCCACAGATATCGCATGGGCTTCTGCAGTGGTGAAGCTGCTTATTTAGGACTGCAGAATACCGGAATTTGAAAACGATGGGCCAACAGCAGCATAGAACACACCAGTGTGAGACTTTGAAGTATCTGTAAAGAATACTCGGCAAGTGTACTTGTGTTGGAGTTCGAGAAAGTGTATGCGGGTATCGCAGTAAGTGCGTGTTTCATTCATTCATTTTTTATTTCAAGTTTTATTAGTACATGAAATACACAACACTGGTTAGACCCCTAGCCACTGGCTAGTAAGGGGTCTGATAAAGTACATATTTAAATGAACAGGTTGTTAAAAAACAGATGTTAAAAGTACACTTCAATCGTAATAAGGAAAATGATGCAAAACATAAAAAGGAATCATATTTGGGATAGGGAAATAGCAATACCACTCAACATGGTGTGGATAAGCATGCAACATATTATTTCTATACTTCCCATTGAACATAAATACATGAAGGTACGTAAAAAATTCCAAGTGCGATATGCAATCAATATGTCATGAGATTACAATAAAAGTGTGTGCTAGTGTAACTTATTTTTTTTGAAAAAGGTACTTTTTTAGTGCTCAGGAAAAACTTTTGCTTTCTTTTATTTGGCATGGTACACCATTACAAATCTCGACACCTGCAAATGGCATCAATCGTTGTCCATAAACATTGTTAGTAGGTGGAATATTGAAATTGCGTAGTGTGGAACGTCTAGCAATGCGGGAGGAAGATGACAATATCTATGTATGTCTCATAGGCACGTAGTTATGAATGATCTTATGGACGGTAAGTGCAGTCTTCTGCTCTCGTAAATGATCGAATGGTATCATTTGTATTTTATGAAACACTGGCCCACTGTGATAATCATATCTAGCATTGTTTACAATTCGAAGTGCTCGCTTTTGTAGAAGGCGTATGGGATCCAGATATGCACTATGATATGTGACAATGAAAAAAAAAAGCGAAAATGAGCATTCATACAGTATTATTTTGAAAATAATTTCTAGCGATCAATAGCATACTGCAACCGGATCCTAGTAAAGCGCATAAAAACGTAATATGGTTTTGACAATTTAAATGGCTATCAAAAATAACTCCCGGATATTTAAAATGTTTCGTATGCTCAAGTACGCATTCACTTATTTTCATGCACATGGGCTCATTACTTATATTGTTATAACGGGAGTGGAAGAAAGTATATTTAGTCTTCAAAACTAATTACTTTGGAATTAGTAATTTAGTCTTCAAGACATCTAATGCTAAGGCTTTAGCATTAGGTGTCAATCTGATCGCCGAAAAACACTTACAAACATTTTTTATTTCAGCGTTATTTCATGCTCTACATTCTTGATATTTTCGGCAGTGACTTCCACGAAAGATAGATCGCCGTCTATAACCTGCCACTGCCACGGTGGCGGATATGCTGCGGGAGCCATCAAGCGGTATTCTAGAAACTTACGTGGCACGTCTGTTTTCTCAGTGAGGCTCCTCACACGGAGTGATTAAGGCTGTCTCAGCGGAAGACGGTTGTGGAACAATTAAGGCTGAATTGGAGAAATGCAAAAGAAATGTAACATCTCAGAAGATGGAGTGACCGTTCATACGATTCTACGTACACGCTTTCCACGGGCCAGTTCGAAAAGCACCCGTAGAAAGGCGAATGCTTAAGCGGTGGACAGGGTCGAGCATCTTTGAGGCTGATGGTGTCGCAGACTGATAGGTAGCGTCACCGTGATCTAAGCGCGTGTGTACGAGGCTTCTATACATATTTATCAGATATTTCCCGTCACTACCACGTGTAGTGCATGGCAACACCTTCAAGTTATTCATAGTTTTTAAGCACCTGTTTTTTAATACGTGGGGTATAAAAGTTAGTTTGGTATCTAATATTAGGCCCAGACACTTATGCTCAGACTTTACAGAGAGCCGTTGATCATGCAGGTCAATGTCGGGCTCTGGATAAAGACCCCTCTTTTGGAAGAGCAAAGTGCACGTGCTCTTTTGTGTGTTCAGATTAAACCCTTTTTCTGCCTATTCAGAGACCTTACTCAAACCCAATTGAACGTAACGTTCGCACATTAAGAGGTTAAACCAACCTGTACATTAAACCAACCTGTACATCGTTTACATAAGTGCAGTAAAACATATTGCGTGGGAGAGACAGGCAGAATTAATTCATTTTGACTATGAAGAGTGCACAACTCAATACACCTCCATTTGCCATTACTGTTTTTGGGACAAATACTTAGGGTACCCACTGGAACTCAGAATGTTCAGCTGTAAATGTAGCTTTCGATGATTGTTAGCATTGTACCCCGCACACCTAAATTTGACAGGTCGCTTAGTATGCCAAAGCCCCATGTTGTCTCATAGGCCTTCTCCATATCGAGGAACACAGAAAGGAAAAATTGCTTATAGGTGAAGGCATCACAAATTTGTGCCTCAATACGGATAAGGTGGTCAGTGCTGGACTTAGCCTCTTGAAATCCGCACTAGTATAGGTCAAGTAGACCACTTGTATGACGGAAGGGCATCAGTCACCTGTTCATAATTTTCTCAAACACGTTGTAGAGGGAACTCGTAAACGCTATTGGCCTGTAGCTTGAATCTGTGGACGGGCCCTTGCTATGTTTTAGGATTGGAATAACTATGGTTTCTTTCCAGGCTGAGGGGACTTGGCTGGAAAACCATACACCATTATACAGAAAGATAAGGTCTTTTTGGGTTTCAGTGGGCAAGTGTTTCAACATTTCATATGACTCATGGCCGGAGCTTGGGGCAGACTTATTGCAGCAGTTCAGTGAGGCCAGTAGCTCAGCTAAACGGAAAGGTTCGTTGTATGCCACGTGAATTGTGGATTTGCGCTGTAGTTTCTCTTTCAATATTCTGGCTTTGTATTGTTGAAACTCTTCAATATAGTGTGACGAGCTGGAATGTGTGCCCATGGGGTTCGCCTGGTCTTCCAAGCTGTTGCCTTGTGTGTTTACGAGTGGAATTGATTGTACCTGTCGTCCTGCTACCTCACTATCCTTGCTCCAAACTTTCGTCTCTGGTGTATATGGATGAATGCCTGTTAAAGATTTCTGCCACCTTCGCCTGCTATCCTGTTAGTGTATTCTTCTTCCCTGAGACTTAATGCTCTTGAAACTGTCAAGATTTTCAGCTGTCAGGGAGTACCGAAGCAACTTCCATGCTTTGTTGTGCGGTTCACGTTACACTCGGCATTCCACCAAGAGACACGTCGTTTGGTGTACTGTCCAAATTGGGGGATACAATTTGTTGCAGCATCAATTAAGAGAGCTGTGAAGTAGTCTAGAGCTGCATCTATGCTTAAGTCACACCTATCAGGCCAACGTAAGTGTGTAGCTTTACAAATATTGCTCCAAATCGGCCGTCTCCATCTTCCATCTCGGAACTGTTGGCGGACCTTCATAAGGTATCGGTGTGCTCAGAATTATTGGGAACTGATGACTTCCGTAAGCCTATTCGAGTATCATTAGAAGTGATGGAGAGGTAATGCGGTGATCTGTGTATTTATAGCGAGGCTTTACTATGTGGGATCTTTGGTAGTCAGGAGACATGCAGCGGAAGTGAACAGAAACTGATTGATATGTGGGGTTTAACGTCCCAAAACCACCGTATGATTATGAGAGACGCCGTAGTGGAGGGCTCCGGAAATTTCGACCACCTGGGGTTCTTTAACATGCACCCAAATCTGAGCACACGGGCCTACAACATTTCCGCCTCCATCGGAAATGCAGCCGTCGCAGCCGGCATTCGAACACGCAACCTGCGGGTCAGCAGCCGAGTAAACTTAGCCACTAGACCACCGCGGCGGGGCAAGTGAACAGAAACTGTTCTACTAAACGGCCTCGGGCATCACAGCGCGGGTCACCCCCCAGACTGCTATGTGCGTTGAAGTCTCCAAGGAGAGGATACGGTTCAAGAAGTTCATCGGTTAACGCCTGGAATTTGCTTTTGTTAGGTCGGTGGCGAGGGGGTATGTAAAGAGAGCAAAGCGTGACGAGTTTGTTGAAAACAGTGGCGTGAACAGCCACTGCCTTAAGCGATGTCTGAAGTGGTAAATGTGTACATGCTGTTCCTTAATTAACTATAACGGCAACACCACCGGATTACGCGACATCATCATCATCCTGGTCTTTTCGAAAAATAACGTTATTGCGTAGTTCGTGTGGTTTGGTTTCAAGCGTGTTTCTTGTACACACAGCACTTCTGGCGCATGTTCGTGTAAAAGTTCTTGGATATTTTCGTGGTCTCTCAGCAGTCCTCTGACGTTCCACTATACTATTTGTGTTGCCATTTTATTGTGGTTTTATGCCGTGTGTATAAAAAGTGTTGCCTTAGGTTACAGGGCCTTTTGGAGGGCTCTGTAATGTGGAGTTTTTCTTTTTTGGCCCGCTCTAAAGAGCTGTGCATATATATCCTTCGGCGTCTGTGACGCCGGAGGAGTGTAGCTTGTATCCATCACCTCTTTTGAGGTGGTGGATGGGGCCTGCTTCGTAGGCGTGTTCACGGCTGTCTCAGACCTAGCTGCTCTAGCAGGGGCCGGGAATCCGGCAGACTCGTGTAAGCTAGCCCTGTTTGGCAGGGAGTGGAGCAGTACAGGCTGCTCCAGCCGGAAGCGCTGGTGACGCAACCGCAATCACACTCGGTGTGACATTCTTGGGCGCGAAGAGACGTGGCGCAGTGCCTCGGCGCGTCACATCAGCAAAGGAAGAAGAAGACTCGTTATGTATAGCAAAAAGTTCACGCGTCTCTTGAAAAGATAGGTTCAATTTAACTGTCTTGAACACATAGTTGGGTTGCGCGAAAACCACGGACGAAGGAGAGTACACAGTACAGGCGCAAAACTCTCCTTCGTCCGTGTTTTTCTTTTTTGCGCAAATACGTGTTCACAATGCACCAAATAGCTCAAACGAAAGCTTTACTTTAACTTTCAGTTAGATTATTTCTTTTTCTTTCTTCCATGAGGGACATGATCGCGTGCCCCACCGCGGTGGTCTAGTGGCTAAGGTACTCAGCTGCTGACCCGCAGGTCGCGGGATCGAATCCCAGCTGCGCCGGCTGCATTTTCGATAGAAGCGAAAATGCTGTAGGCACATGTGCTCAGATTTGAGAGCACGTTAAAAAACCCCAGGTGATCGAAATTTCAGCAGCCCTCCACTACGGCGTCTCTCATAATCATATGGTAGTTTTGGGACGTTAAACCCCACACATCAATCAATCAATCAATCAATCAATCAATCAATCAATCAATCAATCAATCAATCAATCAATCAATCAATCAAAAATTATGGTCGTGAATAGGAGGGTTAGTTTGTACAACGGGAGGCAGAGTTGCAACTGTCGGACAGATGTTCGTTGGAAAAACATTTAGCACATATGGCACGCCCTCAACAGCTTTGCGAGCCATGCCCAAAGCGCTGACATGTGAAGCAATAACGAGGAAGATTCGGTATGTATGGTCTCGCACGAAGTTTGCAATGACCTGTTTTGATGGTTTGAGGAAGGTTACTGGTTCCAAAAGTTACAATTATGTGCTTAGTAAAGATTTGTTTGTCGTCTTGTGTTATCATGATCCTTGGCATCTTAACAATGCTGTCGTCCTGTCATCCTTCAAGGAGTTCACTTTCACTGATTTCAAAAGGGTCATCGTCACAGACGACGCCCCGCACTGTAGTCATGGATCTGTGTGTGCCCCATGACACAGGGATGCCCCCAAAGCTACAAGTTTTGAGTCTCTCGTACTGGTGCTTGTCATGAACTTTCAGAAGAAGATCGCCACTTTCCATTTTTGTTGCTTTATAACCTGGGCCAATTACCTCCATGAGGGATTTTGACACGAGAAACGATGATATTGTTCGGACGCTGTTTGCTTGATGTTGACTGTGTACGATATGGTATTTAGGAAACGACTCTTTGGTTAGCGCAAAAGTAAAGTTCTCATTGGTGTGCCGCCTTTTCTGGCGGTGATCAGTGAGGGTAGGAAAAGGGCTTGCAATAGCAAGGATAATTTGGCACAATGGTGGCCACCCACTACAGAGCCCAACAAGGAGACGCTTCAAGATCTTGAAGACGCCAGGCATGCATCGCCGCTATAACCAAAGGTTGGGCAACTATACACATAAGGTGAACCCACGCCGCCAGAAAAGCTAGATGTAAATGAAAGTAATATGAGACAGGACAGATTGTAAGCGAAAAAGAGCCCTGTCACGGTGGTCTAATGGCTAAGATACTCGGCTGCTAACCCGCAGGTCGCGGGATCAAATCCCGGCTGCGGTGGCTGCATTTTCGATGGAGGCGAAAATTCTGTAGGCCCGTGTGCTCAGATTCAAGCGCAGAACCACAGGTGGTCGAAATTTTCAAAGCCCTCCAGTATGGTGTCTCTCATAATCATATGGCGGTTTTGGGACTTTGAACCCCATGTATCAATGAGTAAGTGAAAAAGAGAGACTATTATGAGGGGAGAGAGAGAAAGGAAAAGGTGACTGCCGATTTCCCCTAGGGTCAGCCCAGCGGTGCCAGCTACGTGAAGCTGAGGCCAAAGGGATGTGTTGCCTTTTCCTTAGACGCCCCGTGTCAGCTCAACCCCCAGGATCCCCTTTCCCGGACACGGCTCAACCACACACGGCTAGTCGCCCCCCCCCCCCCCCGTTAGCTCGGGTCCGTAGTGTCGTCACACACCAAGCACCTGATCGCGCACGTGGGGTCTGTAAGTGAGTTAGCATTGATATAGAGAGAGTACGGGGGTTCAGGACATCACTAAATAACAGACTCTGAGAACCAAGTAAACTGACCTTAACGTTGACGCAGTGAATGATAATCTGACGAGGATTATTACGGAGTGTGTTGTAGGAGTCGAAGGTACAGTCATTAGACAGCACACTTACAAGCTCTCCCAGAAGACGAAAAATCTCATCAAAGGTGCCTTTCAACCCTTGCTCAAGTAGCCATCGAATGGCTTTAATAAAAGAGTTTACTGCTTCACGAATCAACCTCCGCAAAAATTTAGAATCCGTTAAGTACGAGCATTGTTGCAGAGATATGCTGCATGCTGTAAGTATTTTCTTTATTCTCCCGTCCCGACGAGCGCGCTGGAAGCTATGCATAGAGTCATGACATGGGGTAAAGAAGTTTCATCTCCCACGTGTCATGACATTGAGTAACGTTTTTTTTTTAATTCGAACGCGCGACTTACCTTTGGCGTGACCGCACGTGCGGGCACATGGTGGCCTCACGCGGCACCCAGAGTATCTATGCAGCTTGCGATGAGCAATTAAAAAAATGGCCATGAGTTTGGGTATATGATGTGGCGAATTGGGTAAATGGCATCATGTGGAGAACGATTTGTAGCTGTCTTTGT